GGGGGGTAGGTTTTAATATTTCAAACTCAGGTTCTGTCCTCTCATAGTTCCCATAGTATCCTTTCGTACATTATCCTTTCAAATGCTATCCTTTTATAATTATCCAAACTGAGGCCGAATTTCAAGATTTAAGCCGACGCTCAATTGAAACCGTTTTTGGTGGATTTGAGACGCGGCTCAAATTCATTAAATTTGAACTCCGATATACTTTTCTATATGCATAATAGACTATTCAATCTAATACAGCTCATAGTTTGAAATATTAAATATTACGACATCAGAATAAAAAAGACTCGATCAGTTTTTTAAAATTCATTATATAACCGCTCTTTCCAGATTCATTAATTAATAGATCATTCCAATGTTGTTAAGAACGCTACTGTTTTGGAACGATGGCATCGTTCTTATAGCCCCCCTGCATACAACATATTCCAATGTTGTTAAGAACGCTACTGTTTTGGAACAATGACATCATTCTTGTAGCCCCCCTGCAAAGAACATATTCCAATGATGTTTAATAACAATGACATCTTTCTTATAGCCCCCCCCTGCATAGAACATTTTCCAATGTTGTTAAGAACGCTACTAGACTGTTTTTGGAACGATTGCATCAAAAAGTTTAAATAATTTTCTGATAAATTTTTTATTATCTTTAACATTTTTAAATTGTTTTATAATTATGCTTATTACTTAGCTTTACCTTAAATTCGGCGTTTTCTACTAAGTTTGCTAGAGTCTGATGCTCACATGGAACCAGGGTGTATTCAGGAGGGGGGGGGCTACGGGGGTTAAGCCCCCCCTGGACCAGTGAAATCTATTGATTTCAGGGGGTTTTCATACCCCAACGGGTACTGAGCTCCCCCCTGGAAAGATAAAAAAATTTAAGCCCCCCTGGACAAATTTCTAAATATGCCCCTGCATGGAACAGTATTAAATTTAGTCATTTTAGCTTTGCTGTCCAACATAATACCAAAAATTGGGGCAATTCGAGAATTTTGAAATAGGTGAATAATCACTTGAATTTGGTAATTGGACGAAAAATATTCAAATGTTCAAGGTAACAATATCTCAAGGAATGTAATAATTTCAGATCAACCTGGGAATATGACAAGGAATAGCAAGAAGTAAATTATTACAGCAGGTAATATTTTTGCAAATTAGATTTTACTAATTTCATTTTTATCTTATCTTTTTTTAGCGATTGATTATTTTTGAATTTTGAATCTTATAAATTGGTTATCTTTATTTATATTTTTTGCAACACATTTTTTTTCAACATTTTTTGCTAATTCAAACCATCAAGCAAGTATATTTATGTTATAAGTTAGGATACATTTCTAAGAAAACAGGGATTTCATCTTTTCCTAATAGAAAAAAACTTTCTTTTTACTTTTTACATAGTTTTGTAAATAAAATACAAAAGCAAATTTTCTTAAGTTTTGATAGTTTTGATTTGATCCGAATCCATAATGTTAGGGTTATCAATATAACAACATGAAACATTATGCATATGCATTAACTATGGTGACTAGGGCTGAAATTTATTTCAAGCGGTTTGTTAACAGTTAGTTCACCCTGACGTCTCTTTTACCCAAAAATCTAAAACATTTGATACACAGTTGGAAAACCCTTGGACTCTACTTAAATAATCTGCAAAAAAATTAGCAAATTTGCAAAATTTCAAATATTTATTGCAATCAAGTCATTAAGCAAAACATGTGCGACAACAGAAAGTGCGCGAAATATTATAAATTATACTTTTTTTAAAAACTCTCGACACGGCAAATTCAAATATGAGAAATTAAAAAAAGACTAAATGTGAATTCAAGGAAAACTGAAATTGTGTAAATTCCCTTTAAAGGCATCTGAGCAAAAATCGATGCAAAATTTTCTCACAAAATGGTACAATCTGTTTCATTTTGTCCAAGGCTTTCTAAAGAGCTTTAAATTGTCGAAATCCAATGACCGGAAGTGGGTCTAAATATAGATTTAGTCTGGTAAAGGTAAAATTAGGCATTCAGGCAGTAGGTATAAAGGCCTCGGTTTAAGCCTAAAGTGAGAGCATGTGTGGGTTAATAAGTCAAACAAATTTAACAGCTCCAAACCAATACTTTTTAGGTTATCTTCAAAAAACGTCAGGGGNGTTAAATATATTTATATAATTTTCATTTTCTAGAAGAGAACAGGGATGAAGTATGAACCTGATTCAGTTAGAATCAGTGATATTCGTGTAAGGTAAGTAAGGGAATAAATAAACGCATCAGGGTCTCTTTTCCCCAAGGTTGTATAATAAGCCAGGTTACTCTTGATGCGCTCTTTAATGTACGGGAAATGTCGTCTCCTAAGATAGATAGTTAAAAACCTCATATGACGTCACTCTCGCCTCTATGATCAGTGACGTCATATGAGATTTTATCTATCTATCATAGGAGACGACATTTTCAATACATTGGAGCGCATCAAGAATAACCAACCTTATTATACAACCTTGATTTTCCCTAAGATTACATAGGATATCGTAACATCTACAAGAAGAGATGGGCGGTTTTTTTCATTTTGTTCACTATCGTTTTTTAGATTTAAAATCGTTCGTTCTTGTTTGCTTTTCGTTCATTTAACGATTGTTATTTTTTCATTTCTCTGAACAACCAATGTCGTTCGTTCATTGTTCGTTTTTTGACGTTAACGAAAAAATTCGTTCGTTTTCAAAACTGTTGTTTGTTCATATAAACGATACCTATCTCTAGCTACGGGAAATGGAACTGAAGTCTACAACCCCACTGGAAACCATAGATTTCACTGATCCAAAGGGGGGGATGGCTGAGCAACAAACGCCCCCCCCCCTTTTGAATATGATGATATTCACGTGCATTACCATCAGTTGAACGTAAAAAATGTTTTTATAGTTGTTGTGAAAAGAGGAGCAAAAGTACCTCATCACCCAATGGAGGGGCAGACAATGATGGGAGTCTTGCTGAACACAAGTTCTACAGAACAGGTCAGAGAGTACAGAGATCTATTAAAGGCTAGACTAGGCGGTATTTTCTACAGTGTATTTCATTGTGTAAAACTAGGGTGGGAACTCCCGGCAGCTTTACTCCGCTATGCTGCATGATAGCCTCCCAGATTTGACATGAGTACGAGACTCCGCTATGCATTTATGACCAAAATGTGTGTTAGAGGAGGTTTTTAAACTCATGTTTTAACTTGAATTTAAAGATTTTTTTACAAATTTGTTAACATATGTGGCATGAGAGGTTTTTCAAAGATCAGAATTATTATAAATAATGAATAATCGTGACTAAAATAAAGTGGTTTATAAAACTTTAAAAAAAAATTCATGTGCAAAGGAAAATTTGAATTGAATTTGATTTCATCTTTTAAAATTTATAATCTTTGATTTAATCGATACCTTTTCTGTAATTCTTTTAAATCTAGAAAATTTTTATCATTTATGTAAATCTTTACAAATTTTTTTATTGCTTAAATTAAAGATTACAAAAAAAAAAACTAAGTTTACTCCAGAAACATTTCACAAAATATCTTCCTTTCTGTGCAAGAAATGTTTTAAGTCTTAAGTATATCTTTTACAATCTACTTTATGAGTCCATATAAGTTTCTAATCATGACAATCACTAAATAACTCTAATCTCTAGTAAAATTCTTATATTCTATCACCTCATATTTGTTACTTCTAAAAAATGGAAATTTAAAGGATTTTTGTAAAAAAAATTTTTATATCCATAGGGTAGGGTATAGGGCGGTAAAAAGTCCGGTCTTTGAAAAAAACAAAAATCTAAAATAGCCCTTTACTTTTTTATGACTAAAGCTACAGATCTAAAAACTATATTTTGAAAAGCCCTTGAAAAATGGATGCAGAAACATGTGTCACACTTTGATATTTGTTTCAATAAAAAAATACTTTTAACATTTTTTTTACCTTATTTTGGCATTTTTTTCAACCCTCCCTAGCACCCAAACTATGAAAGTTATCGATCAAATTTTGTTTCAATTAGCTGGCCTTGGAAAAAGGGCTTTAACCTTATTGTTTTAAAAATATGGTTTAATTTCCTACAGGCCCAATGTACTACAATTTTTTAAAATCATTTTTTTATTCTTAGGCATCAGTTCTGAATTCACAAATGGAAAAGAAGAGACTTTTGATTCTTTGCAGGTAATTAATCCACATCACCAATAACGATGAATCACACGCATCTAAAACTGATCCAACATGATGTAACACACGAATACAAAGCAATGTTTATAATGCAGCAAGGGTCTTCAGCGTAAGGGAGCGCGGCGGTGGGATGGGTGAAAGTGTTTCGAATTGACAACTTACAATTAAATATTTACATTAAAAGATTTTTTTGTATTTTTAATTGTGGAAACGCGTGGCCGCAATTAGGTGTCTCTGTAGGAAGGGAGGTTAGACCGTAAAAAATCAATTTAATTTCAAACAAATCATTTAGATATTACAACCTATAGTCATCGATTATCTTTCGCCACATTTGTATATAGTTTATATTTTATAATATTTTATTTTTTTTAGAAATCGTTTTCAACGGATTTCGAAAATTGTGAGTGGTGTGCGGCATTCTTAGATAGTTGCGCAAGCGACAAGAGAAATAAACAATACGGTAGTTAATCGTTAGCTATAGTTGAGGTGTAAGGTGTAGAAAAGGGTTAGAAAAGAGTGAAAAGGGGACTACTGCAGAACAAAAGTTTCCTTCTTATAAGAACAATAGTTGTTGATATGGGTAGGGGAGGATTGTAATGATCTGCAGTGGGAAATGGGTTTCAAATGGGTAGTCGTGGGGTTTCCAATATTGTAGCCAGACTTAACAGTACGACTAAAGGTACGGATCCCGATCATTTAACTTTGATTCAACTTCAACCTTTATTTTTCTTGAAGTCCCAGGATATTTGTTTAAGATGGTCTTCAATAAAAATCTTATGTTCTTTATTCTCCAATAAAAATTCAGTGGTCTCAATGAAAATTTGGGGTCTCCAAAAAAACCAAGAGTCTCCAATGGAGTTCTAGTGGTCTCCAATTAAAATCTTATGGTGTCCGAGGAACAGCGTTCTCAATGAAAATCTGTGGGTCTTTGATGAAAATCTGATGTCTCCGATTAAAAACATGGGTTTTCATTTCAAATCTTGGGGTCTTTAATGAGATGGCTGTGGGGGTTGGATGAAGATTTCCACCTTAACTTTAATCGTTTTAATGGTTTATTTTTTTACATGCTAAAATACATTTTCAATGATAACCTATATTTTTCAAAGATAATACAGTGGCTTTCAAGTTAGAGATATTGATTTTAGCGTGGATTTTTTAGTGTACTAGATAGAAAAGTAAGCTTATTTTTTGGCAATAAACTTACACAAAATTTTAAGGACTATATGTATGTATCTTCCAATCTTAGATAGCAAACATTTTATTTACTAAAACCATCAGACAAATTTAAAGTAAAACAAGTATTGGAAAACATTCTGGTTTCCACAATGAAGACTTATTTGATGATCTTTTTTATCAAGCCATAAAACTAAATCACAAAGTAAAAATTAACAGATGTACGGAGCCAGAATGTGAGACATGAAGCTTTTTTGCGAGGGCTCGGAGCCCCGCAAGGAGGCTCTGTGGTAACTCTAAAACTCTTGCGGCATAGAAACATTTCCAGGGGCTCATGGTGGCCCTGCACACCTCCTTCGTTAATAAACAGCAAACGTTTTTGTGAAAAATTAAATATATTTACTCCGGCCCATACAAAATTATTTCTTTTCCAACATGTTTCACTTTCTAACGAATTCAAACTTAAGATTGCTGACGTTTCTTCCTTTTCATAAATCTACATTATTAAGAATTTGCCGACTCTAACAACTGCATACAACTTTTAAGAGAAACCACTGAGTGACCCAGATTTGATTTATTTATTAGATGAGTTAAACATTCTGTAATTTTTATATGTTGATTATAGAAAGCCAATTTTCACATCTCATCTATGCAACTAAAAATGTTTGAATCTTACAAATATAGGTTTTTAAATTTCAGGTTGACCCTGCCAATTACAACCGGTTAAGTCGGTCATCTTCAACAAAGGTACATATTTTTACCTACAGGGTATACCACGAAACATGGCAGTATCAGGACCAATTGATTATCGCAATTGATCTTTGAAATTATTTACGACATTTATTGTAAATCTAATTTCAGAAGTGATATTCTAAAGTTAATTTTAAAAAATACTTCCAGTCTTAACATTTCCTAAATGTGATCTGCCTGTGCTTTCAATATTACCAGAGATATGAAGACATTTTTTTCAGATTTCGACAATTTAAAATTGAAATCTGAAATCTGAACGAAATCGAACATATAAAGTCCAGAATTTTTACCTGACATCAGTCGGTTAAAATGTTTCCTGAGTCGTCTTGCTCCTGTCATGTTTCGTGGGACACCCTGTACATATACATGCATATATGCATCATAAAATGAAAATAGACGGGATCTAGTATTTATATAGATATATAGACTATAGATCAACGAAGGGCAAACATTTTTTAAGGTTGTTTTTATCATTTAAGGTTTTTTTACTGCAAAGATTCTCTACAAGAATCCACCTTGCTAATTATATTAAATAATGCTCTTTAAGTTTACTTTTATTACACTGTGTAGTTTAACATTTTATTCTGACTTTATTTAAAAGGCAAAATTTTTTAGCATCAAACAAAAACAATGCTTATCTCTAATACAGATAAATACAAGATACTTTTAGATACTTCCAACTGTACACTGTACTCATGACAATTGTACAGTGTACATAAAACATAAACTGTAAGAACTGTTTTTGTTATCTTTCTTCAGTTGTTATTTCTAATATTTATTACCCTTTTATAGATTTTCATTAGATTACTGTTATCTCATTGTTATAAAACTAAATCCAACTTAAAAGAAGAAGCGTGAAGGGTTGGATAAGTTTTAAGAGCAAACTTCAACATAAAACCGTTGTAATAAAGATAATGTGCAATGATGTTACATTTTACAAAAAAAGACAGAAAGATTCATTTTTTTTCGTCCGAAAAAAGTATTTGTTGTGCCACGCAAAAATCAATACAAGATAGTGCAGAAGGTCTATTTATTAATTTAGTAATATAAACAATATCATTCTCTCCAGACAGCATGTGCATGATTTCACGCAAAAATCTGGCAGTATTTTGACAATTACTCTTTTTAAACTTAATCTAAAAACATATAAAAAGTTAAAGTATAAGTTGGTGATGTACAACCTCAGGCAGTGCAGTGCATTGATTATATATAATTTCTAATTTTGAGTATACAATTTTGTACTGATTTAGTCTTGATTCATATAATTCGAGTGAATAGTTTACTAAAAGAAAATTCCAGCAATGATAAATTCTAAGCCTACTTTAAAGATAAAGAATCATGAATCTTGAAAAAGTCAATTTTCAAATCTCTACTTTATCCAATCTGTCAGAAACTTGCTTTTCATCAAGATAAATATGGAAAATTATTAAGATTATTTTAATTCTTTAAATCAAATAAAACCATTAAGACTAGATGATTATGGGGTTATACCTTTCTACCTTATAGTTAAATGATAAAGATAAAGTTAGACTTTTTAGTTAATTAATTCAGACACAGGCGCATATCTTTAGTTTAAATATGTAGGTTAAGTAATTACTGACTGATACAATGTGTTACCAAATAGTCATGAGAATATCGATTATATCCTGAAACCTTCTCTTGCTACTGTCTTATAGGCCTATTCCTTGCCATGCCTGGAATTCAATTTAGGATATTTTGAGACTTTCTCATCTGCGGCTGTAAAGTGTACAGCACTTCATATATTGTGTGTCACAAAAACGTTCTGTACTGCAGGATGCTGACCCGGCCGGAAATGTATTTCAACGTGGGCTTGTCTACTGGGGGGTTTACCTGCCAACCTTTTCAGGAGGATTACAGGTATTATAAAAGTGACCAGTCCTATAGATGTTAGGTACTTTTTAAAAGGCATTTTCCCATGTGGCAACTTCAGAAATTGCAATTTCTTAGCCTCGGAACCTAGAATGCTCTAGCCGCAGTGCTCGCCACCTTCACCGTCATTGGTGAAGTTGTCACTTAGGAAATTCATACTTTGGAAGTCGCCCTTGGGAAAATACCTAACGTACCGTCCTATATTATCTATTATTGATGTTCTGCTTGCGGTATTCTTGAATTACAGAAGAGTACCAAGAAACGTAAACAAATGTTTTCATTTAGAAATTGTATTAGAAGATGCCACTCTATATTTCCTGTATTTTGTATTAGATCTAAATAGAATGGGTCAAATTGATTTTTCGCCACAACTGAAAACAACAAGAGTATTAAACACTATCTTACAAAATCATGAAAATGACAGCGTACAATTTAAATATTGGGTACAAACTTTAAAAAAATTGTAGAAAAAATCTGAATTTTTTAACTTATTCCGATTTTGCTTCTCTGAAGAGCTTTAAAGGTGAAAACAAATTTCATAAATGGTTATCAAATTTAAATAACTGCATTGAAAGAATAAATCATTAAAATCTTAAATGTTTTAAAACATTTAGTAGTTTGAGATACAACTTCTAATAACTATGACAATATATTTTTAAAATTGAAAAATCGACCTATGAATTATGATTTTAAATTTGTTAACTACTGAATGAGTTTCGATTTTTATGAAAGATAAAAAATATAAAAACATTTGTGAAACTATGTTTAATCTAAAATGATGTTTTATTTTGATTTAAAATTATAAACACTATATTCTTTAAGGTTGTAAAGAAAATGCCAAGAGCTAGAAACAACACATTTTTGGCATCGTTACTCAGATAGAGATTAAAAGGGCCCATGTAGACGTTCTTGATTGAATGACCACATATAAATCCTGTGACAATATCTGTAGATTAAAATGGATATTTAATTGTATTTTAGGACAGGAAACTTGAAGATGCTTACCAACGATATTCTCATAGACAAAGACAAAAATCCCTTATCCTGGTCAACATATTCGATCTTGCAATTAAAGTTGTAATCATTCTCAAGGTAAATAACATATTCGATCTTGCAATTAAAGTTGTAATCATTCTCAAGGTAAATAACATATTCGATTTTGCAATTAAAGTTGTAATCATTCTCTAGGTAAATAACATATTCGATCTTGCAATTAAAGTTGTAATCATTCTCAAGGTAAATAAGATATTCGATCTTGCAATTAAAGTTGTAATCATTCTCAAGGTAAATAAGATATTTTTCCGATATTTTCACAATCAGAGCTATCAATTTTAAGCCAAAGTTAACTCAGGTTTCACTTAAAACGTTGCTTATTTTTCTGAAGATGCTTTGAGGGTTTTATAAAGGAATTAAGTCTTTGCCGCAAACTCTTATTTTCTTATCAATATATCTTTGCAACCCAATGTCGTAGACCTTAGATATTTCAAACTATAAATGTTTGATCAAAGAGTTTAAATTTGAAAAGATATAGGGATTTGAAAATTTGATTTTGTGGCAAAGACTCAATTCCTTTAAATACTAATCCAATTGGATCGATAGTTTTTCAAAATTAACGAAAAAACAAAAACGAAGGGTTTAAAATCTTTTGTTTGCATTTATTGATCAGTCAGACTGCTAAAGAACGATTTCTAAATTGTCTGTTCAAACGAATTGAACGAACGATTGTTTTTAACGAAGTTTTGGAAAACGAAAGTTGTTTTACTGAATGAACGATTTGTTCAAACAAACTTAAAAAAAGATAATTTTTTTACTGAACAAATGATTTTCTTAACAAACTTTTGAAGAAAAATAATTTTTTACTGAACTACGATTGTCTTGAACGAATGATTTTTCTGACCGAACGATCAATTAATAAACAAATGATTTAATGGAACAATCCTTCAATTATAAAACATATAAAATGACGGAAATGAACAATAATTCTGAAAACGAATGAATTTGAATTTTTACTGAAGAACTGTAACAAAACCAACCAAATGGGTTGTTTTCAATTGATGAACAAACAAATTGAAAAAAAAACCAATAGCGTCCATCTCTATTAGACAGAAGGTACAATCAGAACTAGAATTTCTCTGAATTATTAAATAAATCTCTTTAATTAAACAGTGGAGGATGTGCACATCTAACTTTCAGAGAAGTAACAACTAGGTCTTGCTAGGTGCTTCTAAAAGTATTCAGAGATTCAGGGTGAGAGAGAGAAAATGACAAACTAGAGAAACTTCAGCCAGGGGTGTATATGGGGTATACACCCCTGCACACAAATGGAAAAGAAAAAAACGGAACTACAATTAACATTAGCATTCATTTTTAACGCTGTATTAACCTGGAGAATGGAGGTTTTTACCTAACTAGATCTAGATTTTGCCATGAACAGCTTTAAATATACTACTTAATAACAAGCCTAGTTAGCCGTTATAAAGTATTCAAACTCTTCGGAAAGGCATTAATTCTTTCGATTGAATCTGGTTCTATGTTATAAAGCATCAAGGGAGCTCAGAACAGTCAGATTCTAATACAACTCGCTCAAGTTCCTTGCGGCTAAACATAACCCTGTGTGGAATTAAACCCATCAGTACATCCTTTCTTGGAAAAAAAGAAAATAATAGTGCAGAGAAGGAGAGGTGTCTCCATGCATCTCTTCCCCTTCCCTCTTGCCAGAAACAAGAATAATGGAAACATAGAAAGTAGAATCCTGATAGTCTGTGCACCATGCACTGAGACCGGTTTATACTCTGCCGGCTGAGAGGAAAAGATTGCTGTAAATGAGGCCATATTCTGAAGCAATGTCTGAGATGAACAAGAATCAAGAATTCTTTTGTCGAAAATATCCACTCCTTGCCTAACCTTTCTCATCCCTTTTGTCATCAGAATTTTCAAACCCTACTTAGCAGTGACTTTTATTTTTCCAACCTGAAAGAATATATATATAATAAATATGAACAATAGCTGGATGAAAAAGCTGCATCATCATTCCTTAACATAATTTTTCAGAGAAATTTGACACCTCTGCATGGAAAACAAACATTAGGGAGAAAGAAAATCAGAAATACGTCTCAAAAATAATTTTTCCCTTTTGATACAAGGGATTAGAATGCGTAGATCTAAAAGAGAGAAACAGAAAACAGATGTATGAGCAGCTAAAACGAATATACAACAGTCAGAGAAAACAATTCAATGCCTTTAAAAAATTTTGCTAAAAAAATTGAATTCAAAAATAAATGTTAAAAAAACACAGTGAAGGATGTCGCATTTGAACTTTTTATGAAAAAAAGAGAAATTAATTGACCTTAGGTCTCTTTATTTTTGCTCTAGCACTCATATTTTTGAAACTATTTTAAAATTTCTCAAATATTAAGAAATTGTAAATTATAGGACGGTTCACAGGCCGGACGGTTTGAAAAAAAAATTCTTACCATATTTGCCATTTCTAAAACCATTGGTAATTTGCCTGGTATATTTCTTGTCTGTTTCTAAAATCTGTGTGAGCTAGGTGAGCTGTCGGTTTGAGCCTGGTTCAGATGATAAAGTTGGGAGGAATATGCTTGGTGAGAAAAATCTTGTCAACACTACTCAAGGTATTGCAATATATTTTTCATTAAAAAACCTAATGGATTAGCTTTCGAAAATTTTCTGGTTTATTTGTATTAGGAAGATAGCACTGTGTTTGTGAATACTTTCTATTATAATAAAAAATAAGACTTTGGTTTACAGATTTCACAGTGTTTAATGAACATGGAAAAGCCAACCAACCCAACATGAGTCAAACAAAAGGTCTCTGCTTGATATCTTAGAACATACGGTATTTGCTGAATACATGATTTGACCATAAATAAACTTTGATTCAAATACCATGTTTTCGTATATATTATAGACACAGTTTCTCGAGGCAATAAACTTCTAGGCTTTAGCCTAGATACTCCCTTTCATCTTACCTTTAAGCGGTTCCTTTTTTTGAAAAAATTGTTAAGATTTAGATATTTAAGATTTATTTTGCTCTTGAAGATTAATTACAGTCTATTTAATTTTTCAAACAAAATGTGTCGTTAAAAGCCAGGCTTACATTTTTTCTAAATGAAAATTAAATGATTGGTTTAACTTTTTGAATTATGGAAAAACCTTACATTCTCAAGGNCAGAGACATGCTGGATCCTGGATGCAAACCCAGAGCACTTCAAGTCCTTCCTCAGCTACATCATAGCAGTCATGGTCCTCAACCTTGTCCTAGGTAGGATTATTGAATTTATGAATAAGTGATAATTTGGTGAAGAAAGACAGACTGAAATAATTTTTATCATTTTTCATAAGTTTATTTTTCATAAGTTTATTTTTCATAAGTTTATTCATAAATATCCAACTCTACAACCTCGAATATGAGACATGTAATATTTCTGTATTTTAACATTGATTTGGAGAAAATTTTTATTTTCATGTTAAAAATAATTAGAAAATTTTTGTTGAATTTTTTTTTATTTCCTAATTCTCATAATACGATACAGATATAAATATAGACCCTGCAGCAAAGAAAAGTCCTGCTTTATATTTCGCAATGTATCTACTATTTCATACATTCTGTAGATTGTCTAGCATGAAACGTAATGTTGATACAAAAAAAATATAATTTTTGTCTTAAAATAGTTCTCTTCTTTTTTTCATAATATAAAAATTTCATTAATATTAAGATTGAGAAAAATATTTTTAAGAATTCTCATTAAGTCAAATTCAAAATTTATTACTCGCCTAGCTTTTACAGCAATTGAAATAGTAACATGCCTAATTTTACTTGTTGTACCTTAGATCACAGATCAAGGAGATAAAGATACAGGGTTGACACGTACCAGGCGTCTAACAACATTGATATCTAAACAACTCTGAAAGTTAGTTATAAACTTTTTAGACAGCATCTTTTTTGAAGTGTCACAACGCCTTGGCCATTGGTTGAACAATCCTTCAATTATAAAACATATAAAATGACGGAAATGAACAATAATTCTGAAAACGAATGAATTTGAATTTTTACTGAAGAACTGTAACAAGGTTTTATAACACCAGCTCACTCTTACGTTTTGTGGTCAAGACATTTTAAAAGTGCAAAGAGCTTGTACATAGCTAAAGTTTAAAAGGCATAATTATCAAAACACTGCTCGACTTTACTTGAAAGCGTGACCATCTTGGTTTTTCAGTACAAGTTGGTACATGTCGGGTTGAAGAAGTGCAAAACCGCAACGTTCATGTAAAAATGCACAATAGACTTAAAGAAAGAAAATATTTGTATTTTTTATGATTACTGAAACCAAGTACTATCCATGTCTTGACCGACTGTGCAGATTTAATATGCAGACTATAATGTGCACAACATATACAATAACCCCCAAATCTCCAACTCGATCAGCGTCAATAATGCATCTTTATCTACCTAATCTGTGCCTTAGTTCAATCTATTTTTTGTACGTCTATTTTGTTCAGGCTTAGTTTCCTGGTGGAGATGTTATGCAAATAATTACCTTCAGTGGGGGGCATTAAGTACCTGGCTACTTTTCCTAACCCAGGTATCTATGAGCTGTTTGTATGTCCGCTCATAACTCATGAACCCCTCGACTGATTCGCCTCAAATTTTGAACTCGGGAAAACGGCGGGGAAGTTATTAGGTTGGTTTTAAAATACTGAGTAAAGTGGGTTGGATTTCATAAGGAAAATTCAAGATAAAGCAGGGTTTCCAAGCTAGTATATATATAATATTGCCAAAGAATGATGCAAGACATTAAACGTCTTATATACACATTAGAAAACATATCAAAAAAAAGAATGTTAAAAACAGAACTATTTCTCTCTCTCTACCCCCCCCCCCCTGAAGTGTAGAGAACATAATTATGCCTTACTAATATACTGCTGATTTGGGGCAAATTATAATGTTCTCAAAAAAGATAAATGATAAATTTTAAAACTTGTCAGAGGTGTGTAACAAAAATCTTCGTAAAGTAGGTAATATGGATAAAATAATAGAAAATTCAAAATAAGAAAAATGAAACAAATTCGAGCAATATTGTGCGAGCAAAATATAATCAGAAAATAGAAAAATATCTAGTTCAAAAGGTATTTTTAGTTTAACAGTATGTAATAGGTCATATTTAAAAATATTAGAAAAAATGAAAATGTTTGTTCATAAAGTTTTTTATTTGATGTTTAATTTTAATTTCAAAAGGGGCAAAAGATTTATGCTGTGGAAATGATTTAGTTTTCCTGAGCTGAAAACTTTAAAATTGGATACCATTAATCCTTAAAAAACATTAATCCAAAAACTTACTTTCGTTCAATCGATCATAGTCCAATTAAAATGACACCACAAATTAAAAACCAGTTTTTTAAAAGTTAAAGAGCGCATCTCTAATCTCTAGAAATTAATCTAAAGACTAAACTAGTCTTGATATTAGCAAAAAGAGAAAGGATAAAGCATTGATCTCGATATCCACCATTTTAAATTCAGCTCTGTTTATTTTATAATGGAACAGTTCATTTTTGCTGGAATTTTAAGTAGATTTTCTCCAGCTAACAAAAACTTTTAAAAGTTTTAGAAGATTTCTTTTGAAGTTTATTTTAAAATTTGTAATTGTTTGATTTTAAATTTGAATAACGAATATAATAAAACCTTATTATTTCGTTTTTATGGTTATAAACATTATTGTGGTTGTATGATCATCATTATTATTATTATTATTATTATTATTATTATTATTATTGTCAT